GACAAACCAAAGCGGTTTGGCAAGCGGCCTCCAGTTTTGAAACATTTGAGACTTTTATAAAATCTCAGCTTCTAGAATTGGGTCGTTGACAGGGAAAAAATAGTTGCCGTGGGCAAAGAAGAGTGTCGGGTATTCGTTGCAGTAGGGAAAATAAACTATGTCAAAACCCAAAGCTGTTGAAATAGGGGCAGTTTAAAACTTGTATTTCCCTTAATTTTTGAGGTACTGAGTGATAGAAGATAGGAGTCAAATATATCCTGAAAGTTTAAACTGAAAAGACAATTTAAAAGAAAACCTAAACTACCTTTGGTTTCCTACGCTTTTTTGGCAACGTAAGGATTTGGGTTCTATCTCAGTATAATTTGATGCCAGCTTTTGGTGGTGGAGTTATCAAAATACTTGGCGGACTTGCCATTTATTTCCCTCTGTCCTGTATGTGCTTGAAAACTCGGGACTGAGACCGTGTGCTCGGGTTGCTCTTCTCTTGAAAGTGCGAGTTAAGTAGAAATTCTCGGAGCTGCACAGCATTGGTAGCCCCTGGTTGCTGGGGCTGTTTGCTCTTTCCCCCGCCATGAGAGGGCACCAGCGGGTGCTCACAATTTTTGAAACGGCCTAGTGTGTGTCTGTTCTATTTTATTTTCGATAATGCTTTGAATTCAGAATAGTCTCTCAGATGTTGTCTGTGATGGCACGTGTGGAGAATTCTCTTGATGCTGATTTTCTTCTGGTAACTACTGCTATTTTTTCATTTTAGTCTTAACATCCAGATTGGTCCTGCAGATAATCTGTTCCGAAGGCTTCCATAAAATAATTTTTTTTGTTCAAAGCTTGATCATGCTTTGCACATATTGGCTCTTTTGTTGTGACATCTTTACATTGCACAGCTTGCATGTCCTATTCACTGCTTCCGCCCCTCTTTCGTAAATTGAGGCCTACTCCCATTTTTTAATTTCTAAGCAATTTTTAATGTTTTTACTGTACTGCTTCCCATGAGGTGTATACATCTATTATACTACTTTCTTTATATTTCTTTCTTTTGCCATGATGCTTACCAAAGGACTCTATAAATGTTGATTATGTGCTGATCAGTATATTCACATTGTTTTCTTATGTTTTCTGACTGTATGTGCACATACTTTATCAGTTTGCACTTTGATTGTAAATTGAGCAGAGGGGATAAATTATTTTTTACATGTATTTTCAACAGCTATTGCATCAGATTTCTGATCTGTCTCTCACAGGTGCTACCATAATAATACTTACAGTAATAAGCCATTAACAGTGGCTGATTTGGATCTATTCCGAGAAGGGCTAAACAATACAGTAATAAAACAATCAGTAGCTATTTTGCCTAGAAAAAAGATGCCTATATAGAGATAGCAGTAGTTTCTTTCCCCTAGTGGTTACTGTATTGAGACTCTCTATGAGGAAATTCATTGTATTAAATGTAGTCTGCTTAAGAAACTATTAAATTTTTTTATTATTATTTTGTCCCTGAAGCAAAGCACTGTCTTGTGTAAAGCATCTTAAAAAAAAAAAAGTAATTTTTACTTGATTTATCATGGATAAGTTAGGCTTAATGAAATGCAGTCAGAAAGCTCCATCTTCCAAGACAGTGTATGTTATTAAGCTAGATAGATAAACCAAATGAATTTGGCACGAGGTTTTCCTTTCTGTTAGTTTTCTTTAGCATTAAAAATTCTCCACAGAAAGCTCCTGCTCATTGTAACAAGTGAGTTTAGTCAGATAGTCGGCATCTTTCGTTGATTTGAGGGCTGTGAGTTTTGCATCTTTCCAAAGTTCTGTTTGTTCATTCATTAGACAGGGCTCGGTCCCATGGAGCATTCTCTTACATGCTAGCACTTCCAGACAAATTTAGTGAGGTCTAAGCATCCTGTTGGTCATGTGTTAGAAAATCAATCTACTGCAGCAGCATCAAACCAACAATTTCACTCATTTTAGATTTTCGATTTTGTAACTGTGTATTTGCAGCTCATTTTTTTTATTTATATTTTGCAATAACCATTAAATAAGAGGCAAGTTGTGAGAGCTGGTGAAGCATATTACAATGGTAATGTTTTGTAGCTCTGTAGCATTTTTCATTTAAGGGACTCGCAAGCATTTTAGTTATTTTATCTCCACAACACCTGTTGTAGGTGCACATTATTATTTCTCATTTACCTGTGAGCAAACAGAATTGTGAAAAGGGCTCAGGGAAATAAAACCAGCCCCAAAGACTCAGGGTGAATTTCCACAGCTTCAGTGGAGGGTAAAACTTTTCCGGTGTAATCATTGCAAGTAGTGATCATTGTTACTTACACTTGCAGTAGAAGGGGGCCCTAACTTAACTTACAGAAAGTAGCAACAGAATAAATGTACAGGCAACCCTTCTAGATCAAAACTGTTCTTTCTGCTAACAGGGTGAATCTTTCTGAAGAGCTAATCTGCAAGGAAACCTCTGTCTGGGAGAGAAATTCCTTTGAGTATTTGGTGTAACAGGCATGAAATCTTGCAGGTTCTTTTTTCCCCAATTAAAAGGGTAACTTCTGATTATGTCGATATTTGAAAACTCAAAAAAGTTGTAGCAAACCAACTTAGGCAGCGAAGGCAGTAGATATGCAACTTGATTGTTAGAACTCTGTGTGGATCTTCTCGTTAACAGGTAAAGTGATCTCTCTTCACAGTATCTTGATCTTCCTTTGATGTGGAATAAGAGCTTTCATATTTAAACCACAGTCAAATTCTCACTGCATAATTTACAGAGGCAATTGAAGGTAGTATGACCTGTCTGTTGGAGGTTATTAAACTTACACTTCTACTAATAAATCAGAGCAAAGTCACCTGATGTAGCAGCCATGGCTAGCAACAGTTCAGAGCAGAAGACTTTACACTGAAGGTGGTCAGGAGTGCCAGCATGCTGCAGCCCGCTCCCTGAGCTCTGGCTGAAGAAATGCTTCCCTGCAGCTGGGGTCAGACTGCAGCCTTAGTTAGGTGATATAAGCTATTGCAGCTGACAGCCATCTTGCTGTAAAATACTAAATCTGGTGTACATGGTTAATAGTATATTTTCTGCTCCATGAATTAAACTTTTAAAGCAGATGAACAGTGGCTACTTAACCGTGTTCTCTGGTATAATGGCCAGTGTAATGTCAAGACTATTTTATATGTACTTTTACTACTTAATAAACTTTATTTGCAACTGATAGCAAGATACATGCTATGTGTTGCTAAATAGATTAAAATCACTTGCTTTGGCAAACAGTCTAGGGAACTTGGAATACAACGAAGTGTGATGAAAGGCTGGTACTGATAACATTAAGGTCAGATCCTGCTGTGTACATAGAAAAGTATTGATTTGTTGCAGTAACTTATGCTGGGAGTAAGTATTGCTTAACACCTAACTGGGAAATTAAACTAATCTTTGATAAATACAAACAGGTAGAAGGAATCAGAATAGAATCATAGAATGTTTTGGGTTGGAAGGGACCCCTAGAGGTCATCTAGTCCAACCCCCTTGCAGTGAGCAGGGACACTGCTAACTAGATCAGGTTGCTCAGAGCCCCGTCCAACCTGGTCTTGAATGTTTCCAGGGATGAGGCCTCCACTACCTCTCTGGGCAACCCCTCCCAGTGTTTCACCACCCTCATTGTAAAGAATTTCTTCCTTATTTCTAGTCTAAGCCTACCCTGCTTCAGTTTAAAACCATTACCCCTTGTCCTGACACAGCTGGCCCTGCTAAAAAGATTTTCCCTGTCTTTCCTATAGGCCCCCTATAAGTACTGAAAGGCCGCAATCAGGTCTCCCCGCAGCCTTCTCTTCTCCAGGCTGAACAAGCCCGACTCTCTCAGCCTGTCCTCATAAGAGAGGTGCTCCAGCCCTCGGATCATTTTTGTAGCCCTCCTCTGGCCCCGCTCCAACAGTTCCATGTCCTTCTTGTGCTGAGGGCTCCAGAGCTGAAATGAAAAAGAGCAAACTGGAAAATTATCTGATCTTTGAACATACAAGCAGACTGGAGTCAAAAAGCATTTGTGCCTTATGTAGTCTTTAAATTTTACTCAGTGTAGCAAGATAATTATGCAGTGAAATATAGGTACCACTATAGTGTGCTTGAGAAGAACTAACTAGTATAGCAGAACCCTCAACCATCAGTGTTTGAATCCTCCTTTTAAAAATCTGTGCAGTTTGTTTTTATTTAATAATCAAAAATACTCTTTGGAGTATGGAAAGAAGAATTGAAGAATCAGTTTATTTTCTGTCAGTTTACTCCGTGGGTGCCGTTTCCTTGGTAAGTTGAGTCTTTCTTTTAAAGCAAGAACTTCTAACACTTTTAAAGCAATCAACTCCTTTAGCTATACCAATTTTCCTGCATCATTTCTCTACATTAGCATGAATCCAAAGCATTTCTAATATGCAAGAGAAAAGTGGAGGGGGTAGAGTGGCAAGCCAGGCCCAAAGGCATAAGCAGGAGTATGTCTGTGAACCTCAGGAACTCTGTCTGGCCTACTTTGTAACCACAAGTAAGTCTTAGTTGGTGCTTTCCGTTTAGCCCTTCTGGTTTTTATTGTTATTATTTTGATCCTAAAGATAGAGACTAGCTGCTATGTGTGTCATCTAGGGTGCAGTGGGACTAAACAGCCAGGAATATAAAAGCAGGTAAAAAATGAAGAAATGAGATGTCAGCCTTTTTACTGTAGTAATAGCATTAAGTATATGTAGAGAACCATTACTGAATGCGGTTTGTCTCGACATTGCCATTGTACCACCACTTCCCGCACTCAGAAGATCCCGCCCTCACGGTCTGCAGACAAACACCGCCATGCGCCTGTGCAAGGCCCAAGGCGCGAACAAGGTAGAAGGCGTCCAAAGGAGACAGCATGTATGCAAGTGCGATCTGCGCGTGAGCAAGGGACCCCAACCCCTATAAAAAGAGTGCGTGTGCTCCGGTAGGGGGGGCTCTTGTCCGTCTTCATCCCTCCCCTTCAGACCTCTGGGAACCCACCTCAACGAAGTCAGCATCGTATGGACTGAACCTGGAGTAGCAGATGGGGGTGCCGGAGTGTCAACTACGCCACAGATGGGGGCGCTGGAACATCGCTGGGCCTGGGGCAGTGGTAGCTAGTCCTCTCTCTGGCGCGCTCTCTGGCGCGCTCTCTGGCGCTCTCTCTGGCTTACCCCATCCTTCTGGACGTAAATCTGCTCCCTTTCTATCTCTCCCTTTCCCTCATTTTCTTTTTCTCTGTTTTTCCCTTTTTCCCTTCCCCATTTATCCCCCTCGGTTACCTCCTCACATGGTTCCCTCCTCCCTCCACGTTGAAAATAAAGTTGAAAGGTTGTACGACATCTGACCGGATTTAGTGTCTTAATCTCATCTTTGGGATCCTATCGAAACCTCCCTGACAGTGGATCGGGACAGTATACATAATCACAAGGTTAAAAGATACGGAGCTTAATGTGCCCCTGGTGTCAATTCACTTCTGTACAATGGCATTAAAGATAATTTGGCCATTTATATTTAATCTGATTTGCATAGATGGGCAGCTTGAATTGGGTGGCTGTGAAAGGAGTGCTATTTCATGCAAATCACTTGACTATGTTTTGGTCTGGTCTGTGATAACAGTGGCTAGCTCTGGCATTTCAGTAGTACCAGATCTTAAGTATGAAACTTGCTAAATTATATGCATAACCACTAAAGCCAATGACAAAGCTCATTCAGAGTTGAGGATGCGTAAGAACTTTCAGAACTGTGAAAGTTCTTCATCTGAAGGGGCCCTTATGGATCATTGTTTTCTGATTAAAAAAAAAAAGTGTGTTAAAAGAGCACTTTTAATAAATAGAAATACCGTGTTTTGCAGGTTTGGGGTTATTTTCTTCTTTGCGTTCGGACTTGCTTGTGGAGAATCTTTTTGAACATAGTAAGAATCCAATGCTGCTCTACCTTGGGGAAAAGAAAAAAAAAACCAAAACCTGCAAATGTAGTGGCTAGAAAAAGGAGGTCAGTTTGGCTGTGTGACAGTCTATTCAACTGTCTGATATTTAAATAAATGCTTGCTGCACTCTTGATCTTATGGGTAGGACATTCAGAGTTTGTATTGTCCTTACTATTGTAGCTTCTTCCTGTGCTGCAATATATTCTGTTGGTAGAATCCATTTCTTTCAGTGTTAAAATGCTGATGTTTGCTTACTACTAGTAAGCTTTGTTGCATGCCTTCTCATTCTAAGCTATTTATTTTGCATATATGGTAATACCTGGTGGTTTTGTAGCTCAGGGCAGTGCTGGTTTGCAGTTATTCAAATCTGCATTTCTGAATGTTACAATCTAAATAAGTTGTCTCTTAGAACAGTCGACGGTGTGGCACTTGACAGGATGCTTTACCACATATCCAACACACTTCATAGGATATTTTTACTATGTATATAATACGCTTACTTTCAGTATTATTGTTAAATGTTTGTTCTTTGTTGTTATATGCCAAGGTAGATTGAACTCCTACTATCCAATGCTGTTACCAGGTCAGGTTCATTAGAAGCTGTAAGAAAAAGCACAAGACAGTTCTCCAGGTGTTTTTATTAAACATGCTACCTTGCTGAGGAAGTAAACACCATTGGCAAAGCTGCAGGTAAAGAAGGTAGGAATTTTATTAAATATTTATAAACCCTCTCCTGTTCCTGTATGCACAAATAGGAAGTGAGCAGTCCGAAGAGACTGAATCAATGGGTCTTTCTTCCCTGTTGCCATCTTTTCTCACTCAGCCTTCTTCCTAGTGTTGTAACAAGAGCTTATCCTTCTGCAGATGCTAGATAATACGGTTTTGTTTAAGTTTATTCTTTTTGTCTGTGTGCATCTCTTACATACTCTTTAATTTCTTTTCTTTTTTTTAATTTTCCCAGAAATACAGATATAGTGTTGTATTACTTCAAAATACACTGTGAGCCCTCTAGTGGTACTTTCTACCTTTGCTTTAGGCTGTGGTAACTTTTTTCTTGCCAGCTGTGCTTGCTTGAGCTGAAGGAGTCAGATTAATGTCTGTTTAAACTACTTCAATCTTACTGATTTTTTTTTAAATGTATTTAATGTGAGAAGGAATACTTGCATTCACTGGTATACCTGGGACCTTGGTAGTGAATTCACGTCCTTAATAGCCAGGGCTGGCTCTAGCCACAGTGTAGACATAAGGATTTACTGTGGAGCTCTGGATGCTTTGAGCCTTCATCCAGCTGTATCTGACATTGGCAGCTTGGTACAGGTCAGATCCAAGCACTGACTAGGATGTACTTGTATCTCAGGAGGCCAGCCACAGAAACGTTTACTCTGCTAATCCATTTTTCTAGTTACTAGGTTTGCTCTGTGTGCGTGTAATACGACTGCGCTACTGAGCGCCATCGGGTGACGCAAAGCTGCTCTAAAAGATGAAGGTGCCGAGCTGGAGCGTCCTGAAGTCAGGGAGTGAACAAGCGAGTGAGACACCGGGGCAGTAAAGAGAGTGCTGGCTACTCGGTTTTTACGTTATAAAAGCTCTGTATGCCTCTTAGAAAAGCATCTGAAAAAGGCGAAGAATAGCATCACTGTTTTTGGGCGACACCTGCCTGTGATTTTAACGCTTTCCTTCCCGGCACACTCAAGTCAAGCCTTTGCAAAGATTTCCCAGTACTGCATCCTTCCTCATTGGACAGGTACAGTCAAAACCAGTTCAATGCAGGCTTTGGGATTTTTTCAGCAGATTCACGGAGTATACGTGCTTTAAATGCCTACAATACAGAGGAATCCATCTACTTCTAATGGGATGCATTTGCATAGAGGAAGAATTCCTCATTTAAGATGGGTAATAAGCAAACGATATTTACTGATGAACAGCTAGATGCCTACCAGGTAAGATATCTTAGTTTGCATCAGGGGAATATGTTTGTGGGTGGTTTGTTTTTTGTTTTGTTTGGGGAGTGTTTTTTCCAAATACGAATGAAAACTTTATTTGTGGCCTGCATGTATATATTCTACTGTTCCTTGCCAGCAGTTATAATAGTATTGTAAGGATGGGTTGTTGATGAATACACTGAGTTTAATTTCGTTCTCTGTATACAAGGAAAGGAGTCAAATCCTCAATGTCTGGACTAGGAATGAGGATAAAGACGGTAACTAGCTTGACAATGCGAGTTTTTAGTAGAATCTTTCTACTGAGTGTTTTGTAAAGAAGAAAGTGTAGCAATAACATCTCTTTCTCTCCCTGGTACCTTTGCTGTCAATAAGAGGGGAAAGGAAAAAATAAAAGTAGTATTTAATTTCAGTTCTCCTAAGGATAAGTCATAGAAATATACTTAGTGTAATTCCAGAATAGGTATCTTTATGCTTGCATCCACTCCTGGATGGCAGTTTCTTACCTTGATAGAAGTATGCATTTTATGTCCAGGGATAGCTTATTGAAAACATCTTTATTTACTTCACATTGCATCAACTGAATTTTGAATAGGGTAAAAAAAAAAAAAGATCCCAGTTTTCAGTGATGTTTTCGCACACTGCAAATCTTACTGAGTTGGATTGCAGGAAGCTATCTGCACAGAGAGCATCTTGAACAAGTTTCTGAAAAGACAGTGAGGCAATATATTGAATAGAAGGATGCTGAAGAAGGAGGCGGCTGACTACTTAGATGCAGACAGGGCTGGCTGCATTGCTCTGTTCTTTTATATGAAGTGATAAATACAGAATTAACAGTGCAGGAAATGAACATTTAGTTTATCTCGTGATAACCAAGGGACAGATCCAGTATGCACAAAAGTAAATACCTTTCTTTTTACTTTCAAGATATTTGACTCGAGCCCTTGAAGTAGAAACTATGATTTTTAAATACTAATTTTCTTTGGAATTACTGCTAGCATGGTCTTTTCACAGGTGTAGATATTTAGCCACAGAGTGTCAGACTAGGGATATATGCTTTAAAATGTTATCCCATGCTGAAAATAAGGCATAAATTAAATGCTCTTATTAAATTCCTAGTTTTTTCTTGTCATTGTAGGAAATGTGAAAATGGAGCTTCATTAACTTCCACTTTGTCACACATCTGACCCTCACCAGCAGCCTGTCACTGTAATATATTAGTCTAAGTTTGTGGTCTTAGACTTAGTAGCCTAAGATCCAAAAAGGCTTTTTTACATCCCTGCTGAATAGGCAAGAGGGAAATCAAAGATCTGTAAAACACCAGTGTCTGTCTTCCCACTACCAATAAAAGAGAACACAGAACAGAGACAACTGCAGTGAAACAAAAAAAAATCCAAATGTAATTAGCATTATCTTCTTGACATAAACTGGCAAATGCAAGAGCTGAAATGTCATCCCTAATTCACTGCTCTTGATGTAGAAATTGCCTTTCTCTAATGGCTTTTGCAGCCCCTGTCTTGCATAATGCTGGGTAATTGATCTTAAAGCCTGGCAGTTGTCAGGCCCGGTGGCTTGATCTAGCCTATGGGATTTCTCTGTTACAGGTGGACTTGTAGTTCATTAGTATAGTGCTAGATGATTTTTGACTAGTGACAGCACTTGTTATATATGATAAGTACAAAAAAATAAGTTTCAGGACAATAACCTCCAGAATTCATCAGGAAGGAGTATTAGCCTCTTCCTGTGAACAATCAGATAAAGTCTGTATTTTGATGGCGATTTGCCTGTGATCCATTGGTTATTGCATACCTCCTGGATCTTTTAAACATAGAAATCCTGGGGTTACTGCTGTAGCCATCCACACAGAGAGCTCATGCTTCTCCACTGCGTTCTAGGGGAGTATGGAGTTGCTGTAATAGAAACGCAGCTGTTTGAGTTGGAGTTTGCAGACTTGTCTGCTGCCTTCTCATTTGTGGAATTCCTACAGAAAAGAGGACAATGGGGTAATGGTTCCATAATTTTTAAAATGCAGGGGTTTTGTTTCTTGAAACAGCAGTTGGGTTGCTAGGTCCTCCGAACACTGGACCAAAGTAAAAACACTGTGTACCAGTGTCCGCTTTGCAACAGTCCGTTCTGCATATGTCTACCCCACATATATGTACAGCCAGGCATCTATGTATAAATTGCTTTTTAAAGATCATTCATTAATCCTTTTTTTTTCCCCCCAAACAAGAATTAGGCAACTTTTTGTGAATTTGTATGTCTGTGAGTTGGTACTGTACTCCATACAGTAATACCCAGAGTTAGAGACTGTAGTATCAGTATGGCAGAAGCAAAAGAGTAAACTTAATCCTCTTTGTAAAATAGTTATATATATTTTTAATTCCCCACAGTTCCTATTAGAAGACTGTTAAAACCTCACTCCCCTTGTTGGTAGACGTACAACTTCTTTATTTGAATATATTTCTGGCCATTGTATTATCTGGTTGAAACTTCCACCGTTTTTGGCTTCAACACAAAATGCTCTGAGCCTGAGTGTTGTCTCCAACACAAATTGCTCTGATTACTTCAATGCTACTTTAATAGTGAAATTTTTTTTATGCATTATGTTTTAACTGTTTGTTCCATAGGAGATACTACAAGATAGGAAAGTGAGAAGTTAATGTGCTTAAAGTATGATAAAACTGTATGTAAGTGGAGTAAAGATGAAGCTGCAGAAAAATCACCTGCCTGAAGAGCTCGCATACATAAATATCAAATCATTAATATGGTACTAATGAAATAAAATAACCTTATTTGATTTTTCTATAACTTTCTGAAATGCGCATGTATGAACTTTTTTTGCATATAAACTGTCATATTGAAGAGTCACTTTTTAGCAGCACATTTACATTTATGCAAAATATAATAATCATAAATCTGGCCACCCCCCAGATGACCTCAGTATTTTTAACAGATGAGTGTTTTAAATACTCTTCATTAAGACTGATGATGGGTGGTCAGTTGAAACTGTTTGTAAAAGAGATGCATAATAAGACTTTATAGTATTAAACCTCTCATAGTTTTTTTTTTTTCTATTTGGAATAGATAAAGACAAATTATCTGAAGGAAGTCTGGAAAGCTGCAAATCTCCTAACAGCTTATCATCATTAAGATAGTGTTCTAGTTGGCAGCTATATAAATTTTCATAAGCTTAGTGAAATGTTTTGGAAATTAGACTTTTGCAAACAGTGGTTTCCTCATTGAGATCCACCTCATTTAAAAAGTTATAAGAAAATGAATTCTACTGGGGATTTCTGCTTCTTATGCCCCTAGAGTACTTGAGTGTTTGGGGTTTTTTTTGTGGGGTTTTTTTGTTTGTTTTACATAAAATGCAAAACCTAACCACGGTCTGGTTAGGGAAAAGGTTAATCAGCAAGAAAGATGTATTTCATTGCCATAAAAGCACATTTTTAAAATTAAGCTTTTAAACGTCTGCAGATTTTGGATGTAAGGTCTTGTAATGAGAAAAGAAAAATGAATGGGAATTTTAGGGTTTTTTTGAGTGATGCTGTATAAAGATGCTTGGGGCAATAGGAAATAAAGGTATACAATAAAGCCACATCAGAGCCATATATTAGCCTCAGTGCGCTGAATTTCTCACTGAGAAACAATTATAGTGAGTAGGAAATGCATAGAAGCTGTGCTTGGGGTATGGACAAGCTACTCCACTGTTCAATCAATCTCATTGCCTTTTCTGGGGTTACTCGACTAAGTGGTCTGAATTTGATACTAATTTGATTCTAATTTTTTTCTTAATATACAGACCCTAGAGAATATAGGGCGCAAATATTTTATATCAGATATTACAAAAAGAAATGTCTTGCAATAAAACCAGTATTTGTTCATTAATGGGATTATTTACTCTGTTATTTAATGCAGCCTCAAAACAAACTGATGTTTATCCCGGCTGTCTTCTAGGCAATATTGCAATAAAATACAGTAATATGAAATAGTTGCTTGCTGCTTTTACACAAGAATTTGTCTATTACAGAACTGTTTTCCTTTTGTTAAAATTCTAGTCAAAGTGGGAGTCAATTTATTTCATGAGAACTATGCAAAAACAGATCAAAGAAGTTACATGATGATCTGTCAAGAAATGCCATTTATAGAGAAACTAGGTCATCAAGCTATCTTTTGATTTAAAAAGCTATGCTTGACTTAATCAAGATCTCTGATGAAAACCCTTTAAAGGAATAAAAAAATCGTATTCATCACAAGTTCTCTAGGATCTTCTGTAAAAAGTATTTTTCAGTTTGATAGAGTATTGCTGTTAATGTGTAGATTTTAAGTAGCATAATAATGGAACAAGGGTTTTGTGAAATTATCCTTCAGTCAGATTCTGGTTTCATGTTACCATTTGGTTTACATATAGATTGAGCAAAATCACATTTGTTGACCGTTTGTTTCTTCCTCAGTCCTTGCTAATGTCTAACTTTTTTTACTCCAGCGTTGCAGTCTAAATAGATGAACTGGTTCTTATAGTTGCAGATTTTTCTTCCTGAAACTCAGTGGGTGTTTTAGTTGTTCTGGCTGTAGTTCTAAAATATATATGATTACAAATAAAGATAGGCTGGATGTTAAAATCTCCATGGGCATTCTGATGCAACTAGCATTTTTAAAAATAGAAGTCCATATACCAGTACTATTATTAATGCGGATACTAACTCTGACAGGACTTTTTTAGTGTTTAGAACTGGGTTTGCTAAAGTACTTGTACAGCTAAGCAACTTAGACTAGTGCTAGTATCATTGACTTCCAGTAACTCTCTATATATTTACAGTGATGAAAATACGTAAGTACCTTGCTGGCTCAGTCTTGCACAACTCTATACCAGTGTTAATTATATGGCAACTAGAATAAAAAGATTGCATTTCTAAAATGTTGCCAGAATAGACTTAATAATAGATCTTATATGAAGTTCATATCCAGTACCTTTTTCATTACTTCACAGGATGAGGTTTTTATGGTGTTTTGATTGTATGTTCTCACATGCATCGTGTACGTTTGGCATAGTACGAAACATCGTTTGTGATTTTAAAAATGAAACCTTGGAAATAATTTGTTTGAAATATTAACATTTAAAATGTTGCAGCATTCAGTACTTCTCATTTATTAAAAGCTGCTCAGTAAGATGGCTATATGGAGTCTTGCCTTGAGGGTATTGTTGAAATTCCTGTTAGTCACTGGTTTATGTTATCTGTGGCTTGCTGACTTTTGTTTGAGACTTTTTCTAATTTGGAGTGGCTTTGTGTTACTAAGACTGCTTCATATTATTTCCTTATTTATAAAACTTTCCAGTGGAGCTGTTGCAGGATAAGAATAAACCTGCTCTTATGAAACTATACGTATGAAAGGCAGAATTATATATGTATTGTCTTAGAGGAGAAATATACATCTAATTGGTTTAGGAAATATTATTTCACAGTAGCTTTGCATTCTTGAGCATTGCTATTCTTTTGTTCTATTGTTCCTTTCTCCAATTTTTCTTCTGTAGAGAACGGTTTTGCTTATCTCTGTGAAATTCATTTTATTTGAAAACTGTGCTTTATGCACAATGATACTTACTTCTAAAAGTGTGGTGATAACCATTCATTCAGTGGACTCTGCCATTCATAAACTGCATACTGCGCTCTGGTATTGGCAATAGATCTAACAGAACAAATTACATGCGGTCTGATTCTGGATTCATACCTCATGTTATGCTGTGTATGCACACTTTATGTTGAGTACCAGCATTCTCAGCATAGTTACCTCTGCTCCTATTTTTCATTCAAATCCCTGTAGAACTAAACATAAAGCAGGACTGGTCTAGGAGTTTGCAGTAAAGTCTTACAGACGAATGGAAAAGGTAGGGGACCACCAGGTTTCAGGCTGTTCCCGTTTTGTCCTAAATGTGCATTCACCTGACATAGGAAGGCAAAGAATAAAACTCTTAACAGCCTGTACATTCTGCTCTTTTATAAAGTACATTTTAAGAGCAGAGACGATTAACCCTACTTTACAAGCAATGTTGAGTGACTTGCAGAAAGTCACACTACCAGCCAAGATCGAAGCCACCCATGGAACCTAAATACACCAGCTATCTGACTCTTTTCTCTGCAAAATATTTTAAGAACTAGTTAAGCCACCTAAATGCCAAATTTGAGAACCAAGTCCCATTGTACAAGCTGATTATCTCAGTGAAATAAATGGGACATTTTCTGTTTGCTTTATTTTATTTGCTTTGCTAGATGTAAGGAAGTTAAGTGGATAATTGCAGATTCGTTTATTGTACCTCCAAAAAACCAGCAGTGGTGGTTTGTCAGACTTCTAATTAACTTGATTATTAAGGGCTCAAGGACAGACCAAGTGGGACAGTTCATCTTAGAAAAGGAGCACGTATGTTTTCAGGGACTGGAGTGGTGACCTTTGAAGGCAAAGCCTCTATTCTAAATAACCTAAAACCTACAAGGGGCTTCCTGTTAGCAGAAGTTTTTCAGGCCATTGTATAGCATTAGAAATAAAAGCAGTGATCTTCAGGATAAATTCTTGCCAGAAATCTTGAATTGATAAGAATTATGAAAGCACTGATAACATTTATTTCTTCAGTATTTAGTTTGTGCTTTTCTAGCAGGACTCCCAGTGGCTTTACTGTTCAGACGGAATAGGCAGGTTTGTTTTTAGGTTCATAATAAACTTAAATACAGTCCACATAATAGCAAATGTGTTCCATGATATCTCTGGCTTGAAGGAAGACGAATGTCATCGTATGCATAAATGACAAATGCTTCCCAGGACCCACTTCACCTTTCCTTATGAGGGAGTTAAATTAACATGGTAGTTTGGTATTTATTGTCCATCATTGTGTATTTTCTGTATGAATGAAGTATCCAGAAGAAAATTGGATGATTCACCTCTGTGTTTCTTTGGCCAAAAGTCTTTAATTAAATTGCTGGAGTTCCAGCAACTATAAAATGTAATTATGTTATTTAGATCCTTGTTCCATCGTGACTTTAATCCAACTTAGGGCTGTGCTTTCAAAAAAAAAAAAAAAAAGATAAGGGGAAAAGGGCAGTCCTGCGGCTCTTTCCTGCTAGCAATAGATACTTGATTTAGTTTCATCTCTTGTACCAGCACTACTGATGCTATATTCTAAGCCACTACAAGGAAATTATCCAAGCTGGAAATTAATCCATTTTTGGTAGGTTAGTTTCCAAACTTATTAGTTTCTCCCTTCAGAGTTCTCTGATGCAGTTGTACTACTCATCAGTGTGAAGTCTTCATAAAGAAAGAGGCCGAAATAAGCCGAGAGAAGCAAGAGAAATGGCTGGACTTCCCTTTCAGAGATAGCTTGCAGCCATGGCTTTTACATTTGCGATTAGAGACCAGACAGGCTTCTTAATGGCAAAGCATTTCTTAAGTGGTGTGTGTCATCTTGCTGTGGATCAAAAGTATAGGCCAGGTCACGATTAATTTGTGGTGCTCTGACCCTGAGTAGCTTTAAGATCTCTGCAAGTGGTCTGTGAAACCAGTAAATTTTATTTGAGGCCCCTCATCCCTGACACACAATTCCATGTAATTGGCAGGCATAATTGGAATACTGCAGTCAGCAACAGTGGCCAGGCGGGTACTTGGAACTACTTATGTTACAAAGGTTTTCAATATCAGTGTTTTTTTAGATTATATTAGTAAAAACTTTGTTTGATTTTAAAAAAAAGGCAGACAATAGTGTTTATTGTGAGACATGAGGTGACTCAGATTAAAAAAAAAATTATTTGGACCTTCAGTGAAAAAGGTAAAGGGTAACTTTTCTTCTTCATCTTTATCTCCATTTGTATACCAATTCCTTGTTTGCTTTCTAGTTAGGTAACAGTGTCTGCTGTTTTCTCAAGCCTGTATAATTATGGGATGGTTGCCACTGAGGGCATTACAATTATTTGTGAGATTGCACCTGCCTTTCGTTAGTAGATGAAGCATCCTTAAGTGACAGTTTGACCATAAGTGTTGAATGTGCTGGAGTTAATGAAGACTTAACCAGCTGGCTCCTATTTCACTTTGTGCAGTTCCAGACAATGTGACATCAGTGTCAGCAGCTCACAAGGTGCTTCCTATTGTGCCTTGTAACACTATTCTGCTACACAATACACTAAAGGAATTGCTGCTTCTCCTGCCAATTTATATGGAGGAGAGCAGGCAAACTCAATAATTGATACCACGCAGGACTGATAGCATACCTGGATACCTGAGACAAGCTGTTTGACTGCCTCAGCTAGCTGTGATCATTTGCTTTTCCCCTCCTTGGAAGAAGCAGGCATTTAGCCAGAATGATTCTCAGCTTAGGAAAGAAATGCCTTTTCACTAGTTGACTGAAGAAAGGACTGAGGGAGTCCCACTAGTTGTATGTGCTTTTAAGTATGACTTAGCAAGCCTGATGTTGTTAGCTTGTCACCAGCTGATTTAAAAATATTATGTATTTTAAATACGTTTACATTAAAGGAGGAAAACGACCAAGAGCTTAATTCTTAGGCAAATGCCTTGCCATATCCCATGGGCCTGTGAGAGAGGTGGATAATCAGGAAGAATTTTGTGGTTTGTTTGTTGTTCCCTATATATAAACCCTCATCAGCCACTAGCTGTAAGACAATGTTCTAAACTGATCATCCAATATTTCATTGCCACTAGTGTTCCTAGTTTTGGATGCAGGGCAGAATTTGCCCTAAATACATATAAGCGGGGATTAGGGGATATTTCTGTTAATGGGATGGGGTGGGACTGCTTATTATGGTTCCTCACAGCACCTGAAAGTATGACTTGTTTTGTGACTGATGTAGAAATACATAAAATGCAAACTATTTCACTGCTCAAATTATGGTTCCTCTGTGAAGTGTATGAATTCTTTGATCAAAATGCAGATGTTCATAAAGAGTGAATTAAAGCAGTGTAAATGTGGTCTCACCACACAGCCATTCAGAATGCAAGCAAATGCTTGTAAGCTCTTTTATGTTTAACCAGCTCCACTTTGCATTCTAGTAAGTTATTTCAAATTCTGTGATACCACAGGGAAAACTGAAGAGTTTGCCTGCTGTTTGGAGCAGGGGCTGTCCTTTTATCCGTGTTCCTAACACCATGGGAGTTTGCAGCCTTCACCAAAGTGACCACAGTGCAAAGTAATTGTTAGCAAAAAGATTTAGTAACTAATAAATAAGTCCATGACTTTTATTATTAAATCAGTTGTCCCTAATAGAGGAATACTCCAAGTTAGAAGATCGATTTCTTCATCTATTTGTTATTTATAGCTTTCTAGATCCATTTATTGAATGGTTTTGGCCTATACCTTAATTTTTTGATTTAATTTTGTGTCTGGTCATTCCACAGTGGAGAAGTATTTCAGCAAGCTGGGTTTTTTCCTCCTGAAGTTTCATATTAACAATATATTTTTTTACTGATAGCCTTGTCCTTAGGATATTTCAGTTATTTTATAGTGTATGTTGCTTTCTGAGTCAAAAGCAGGTGGTATACAAATGTCATCTGCAATGTTTTCTGCCAGATCTGAGTTTCCTTCCTTGAAAAACAATTCTTTGCAGTTGTTTTCAATGTTTCTGTAGTACAATAACACATTTTGTTTTTTAACAGGATTGCACATTCTTCACTCGGAAAGAAATCCTTCGGTAAGTACACTGTATAAAATTTTTCCTTCATGATTTGTATGGAAGGAACAATTATTTTTCTGACTTGTGAGGAAACCAAATAAAGCCAGTTATTTTGCATGAATGAATAAGTGTAGGATTGGACTCAAAATACACTTATAATATCTATAAGAAAATAGATGTTGATTAGCTTAATGTCAGTATCATAGCCTTTTCTAGGGATAAGACATTGAACAGTTGAGAACCAGCCATATGAAAGGAATTTGCTGCTTTTCTGCTTAGTTATACCAACGAGGGCACATCCTTCAGTCAGTATGGGCAAAGATTGGGATCACTGTTTGCAATAGAAGGGACTTAGTTTTTTTCAGTAGTGATAGATTGAGCCAAACTGAAGTAATTTCTCCCTATGTATATGCTGACTTATTGCCATGGGTGCTGCCATGGGTTCTTGATCTTCTAACCATTCAGATTAAGGATCTGTAAAAGTATGACATGGATCCTCTCTTGTCAATACACCTCTTGTGACAAAAATCCTCAGGAAAAACATTATGGAGCGAGAATAAATCTGTGGTATGCATCTAGGCCTGGGAGCTCGTAATGCTTCAGGATTCTCAAATTTGAATAGCTTCTCAGACATAAGAGGCCTTTGTTTTCATAAACATTGGGAACGTCTTTGAGATCAAAGAGAGACATGGTCTCCAAGAGAAATGTTCTTTGCTTTTGCTTTGTTGCTGTAAACCTCAGTAAGACCGATGTTCAGTGACTCTGTCAAGGCAAAAACTAATGGCATGGCTTTGAGTGGGGTGCTTTATTTTTTGCTGGAAAAATAGCGGTGATATTTCAGCTAATTTCCTGATACCTTGTTCTCATTACTCACAGAGAAATTATGTGTTTACTCCTCAGCAGCACACAGCATCTCTGAGACCACTGTGCGGGAAGAACATAGCAATATCACCACCCAAGCCAGGATTTAATTTGGTCCAGGTCCCTCTTATGTAATTGTTATAGTTTAATATTTAGTCACATTGTTGGAGTACATTTTCATGATACATGATGTTGTGACTGAATGAGTCAGAATATGCGTGCAGTAAGTGGGTGATTGCTGGCCCAAAGATAAGCTAAGCTTAATGCAGGCTGGCTCCAACAGAGATACTGGTGTCCTCAAAGTGAGTAAAGGCTTTACAAAAGTTTATTACCGTAGCATGGATGTCACTTCTTTAGCATAGCATTCCTCAGCTGCAAACCTCTAGGAATGATACATAATCAGTGGCCATAAAGAGGTGTCATTCTGTCTGTGGCACCCTACAAAAAGTTGTGCAGCCTAAATAAAGATGATTGGTCATTGTATGTTCTGTCAGGACTGCAACATCGTTAGTTCTGCTTAAGAACACTGACTTTGGCAATAACAGAACTTGTCATCACAATTTGTTCAGAAAAGTAGCTGTGAGTCCAAAATAAAAGTCTTTGTGGTTTAGATGTCAGAAGTCATTGGGTGATATTCCTGCATTTGTTGCAGCAGTTGGATATGGAATAAAAGATGTCCCTGTGTAGCCACCAAACTTGGAATCATACATTATATAGGCAGAAATAAAAAGTCCCTAATAGTTTAGAGTAATTACCTGTTTAAAACAGACCTTTAGCCACCTTCTAAGTCTTTTAAAAATCAACAAATACCGTTCTTCTGTTTTATGGGGCTACCTTAATACACAACTTCCAAAATAAATTTGTTTGGAATGGATAAATTGAAAAAATTGCTTTATATTTCTAAAATCCCCTTTAAACTCAAAATTGTTAAAAGCTTTATAAACAATCAATTACTTGTATTTGTACTGTGCTACTATGTGGGAAATAATTATGAATTAAGAATTTTACATTTTACTTAAGGTTCTTTTTGTCACTTTAAATACCCGATCTAATCAGAGAATTTGGACCCTTCCAGGGAAGTAATTTGTAAACTGTGAGACTGGGTCATCTTGCTTTTTGGAGTAATTTCTTTTTCTCCTTTGGGATAATCTCTAAGAAAATATTGGAATTAGCCTGAAAGAATCATTGATTTTCACTGCAAGAAGTGACTGATTTTGGTACTTGTACACCTAAAATACACTCACAGAAAAATTTTTGGACAAATAGGAAGCCTAAAACATGCGCAGAACAGGCCCAATTTAAAGTATATGACCTAAAATGTGACCAATTCTATAGCAAGACTGTAACATTGGTGGGGGGAGAATGGACCCAGAACTGTAAAATGCTGATGAAAGAAAGGAAATAAGGAATCAAACATCTCCACAGAAGTTGTAATTAGGAAACTGCTGAATCTGAATAGGCTTTTTTTTTTTTAATCTGGAAAACAACATTTCCAAACTGTGAATTTGAACCATCATGTGCAACTGAGAAAATCCAGAAATACACTTCATATTTCAAGAAAAGATATTCTGAGGTAATGAAATTAAAAATGTCATTGTATGGTAGGCAAACAGGAATTTACAGTATTGCAAAATCTGGCTATGAAATGAAGAGTCAGCAAGTTCTATTTTCTTTTTCTGTGTTGCAGCAGATAAAAAAATAGTTCTAGAGAATGAGTTTGCAATGTGCAGCTTTGACAAGCAGATAAAAACTGGCTGAAATGAAGAGATTTTTCTGTACATAATTGTGATAAAACTTTTACATGCATTATTCAGTTTTTCTTAACATGTGAGACTGAGATAAAACTTGTGTTAAAGTTTGATATCAGGGTACTGAAGACAGTGTTTCAGAACATGCCAAAAATCACAACAATAAAGGATCTGGATTTGCAGTTTTTTTATATATACAACAGTATTCTGGGGTTGATTTTTGGTATATGCTGTATCTAAAGCCTGAGACTGTATTGCACGCAGGACCTTTGGTAACGGTAAAAACAGGTCACAATTTATTTCAGAAAGCAAGAGCACTCCATTGTCCTGCAGGACTGTTGGCAGCAGAAAGGAATATCTCAGTAGAAATGGATCTTACTTCCTCTTTGATTTAGGCAGATTGCACAGTACTAGAAATTCCACAGTGCTGGGCAGAACACTGCATGCATCTCTTTCAAAACTGGGTAATTTGAAACTACATTTGCAGACAGACGATTTGTAATCTTTTTTTTCTCTTGCATGGCAAGTGTTGCATAGAGTAGAGGAGGTCACTGTAATTCATAGGACTTGATGATATAGGAAGCAGCGCTGAATTGTGGAGAAGTGTCTCCTGCTCTTCAACAAGTGGATGCTTTTCTGTCTAAAAGTTTGACATGGGGACTGTGGGTGGGATACGGACTGGGGAACTGGAAGCTCCTGTTTACTTATTCTGTCACTGTAAGCAACTGAGCACCTTTGACAAATCACCACTGTAGTTTGTCTGTGTTACCTACACTTAATATTTTTGTGCTTTTTAAGTATGAGGATAACATTTCCTTTGTCTTGACCATTTAGATTGCAAGCTCTGCCTGGTAAGCATAATCTGAACTGCTTTTACATGCAGTGGGCTAAAAGCGATCTTAGTTGTAGCTTTTACATTTTACGGTAGTGCAAAAGCTGTTCTGAATGGTTTTTTGGAGGCTTATGATTTCTCTGAGAGGTGTTACTGTCAACTGGCAGACCTGGTCATTTAAACAGAACAATTAAAGAGCAGTGAAGTGCTGAATGTGGCAAATAGTATTAAAGTTTAAAGAAACCCTGATAGATTTTTAGTAAATGCTGTTTCTCTAAAAGGCATAGAGATGTAAGTAAAGGATTTTGTCTTGGTTTGCTTTTCTCTCTTCAGTAATATATAAGGGCATGAGTGATGCTAATGATAATGCCCCAGATTGTTATAATTTATTGTGAAATAGAAGTGTAGCTTCTTCCAATAAGAAACATGTAATGGGCCTCAGCTTGAGTACTGTAAAAGCCTAATGATAGATTTTGTATTTCATAACTGAAGTTGCAGGGAAAGAATCTATTTCCTGAGAAGAGAACAAAGCATGCACTTAGACTCAATTGCATTATTCATGTTAGGCTAAAGAAGACTTCTCTGTTTATGGGCTGTGTATGGGAGATAAGGGAGCCATTGCATGCATGACTTTGCACCCTATCTGTATCAAAAAGAACAAACCCAAAAATACTTATGTGAAACAGTTCAACATTAGAATATGATTGTGAAAAATAGATATTCTTGGGGTAAGAGATTAGGTTAATGGGTGGTAAGAAACAGATGCTTTGTTTGAAAAGTACATTATACAAAGCTGAATATTTAATAATTTATTAATTAAAAATAATATTTAATAATGACATTTGATTGTAAAATGCTTAGAAGAATAAAATCATGACAGTAGTTCTGTAAAGGCCTAAAATCACGGGAGAAAGAATAGTCACTTGGAATCATTGTATTTCTTCTGCCTTATCCTCACAGTGTGATATTTCTGCTTATTGGGAACCTCTATACATAACCAGTGTATGATATGGCACATAGTAATACAATCAATAGCATTTATCTACTTTATAAAAACTATTGAGTACAAATTGCTGTCTAACAAATAGAGTACAATCAAGAGGTATTTCTGCATGTCTGAGGTGAAGTTTACTGAGTGGGAGTAAAATGGGTTATAACCCCCTCGTTAATCAGCACTTACTCATTTAGCATGTCCCCACCTCGGTGAAGAGGGAAGTCAGTACTATTGTGCCTTTCTTTATGCACTGCAGAATGCTCTCAGATGTGGTACAAAGGAAGTGCGGGTACGGTTCTGTTCAGGCTGAACTGAATTTCTTGTGCAGCTGCAAAGTTCAGTGAGACAATCCAGCAAGGAGTAACCTTACAAAAAAAAAAAAGTGAGTAGTTTTTTGGCGGAAGTCAGCCACACCGGCTGGCTCACCATCCATTTGCATGAGTGTTAGCGAGGACACAAGGGAAAGGGGCACAGTTGTGTAGGTGGGGATGAAGGGATGAATATGGCAGCTCCAACTTGGATCGATTTAAACTGATATAAACCAGCGTTAAGATTGCAATTGGGTGCAATGGGCTAAGTGTTT